AATTTTCGAATACGCTCCGAATACGGATACGTGTGGACGGTCGTATCCGCAAATTTTCGAATACGCTGACGTAAACACGATTTTGCGTATGCTCAATGAGAAAAACTATCTGTCAAAGGGACTACGCGCTAGCGTGCACCAGGGCGGATAAAGAAATTTCCGGGTACGTGTGGACAGCGAAAACGATTCGAAAACGATTCGAATACGCTGCGTGTGGACGCGAACATTACCGTATCCGCAAAAAAAAATTTGCGGATACAGAAATTTCCGGATACGTGTGGACGGGGCCTAATACTTCGAATAAAGATAATGGATTATTATTATTAATAGATTTAACAAACGAATTATCAACATCTTGTTTGAAGGAGACGTTCAACTTATTACAATAGACTCTTTTAGCTTGCGCGTATTAAATGATTACCCATTTCAGACCAGGTTTCATTCCCTCGAGAATTTTTTGTTTGAGTTGTATCCAAATTCATGTGTCTTCTCATGCGCAACCATTAAACAAAGAAATGATACTCTAGAGAGTGACACGTAGTCTTGAGAATAAGATTCTTTGTTTGAGTTGTATCCATATTCATGCGTCTTTTCATGCGCAACCGTTAAACAAAGAAATGATACTCTAGGGAATGACACGTGGTCTAAAATTATTCAAACGTTACGCCTGAGCCAAGGATGTCTATAGGCCCCTCACAGCACGTCGGAATACAGATCAATTTGGAAGACATAACGATAGGTTTCCAATTCTCAGGAGATTGAAATTCTTTTGTCTTGTTCTTCAATCCAAATTGAGCTGCTTTGACGTCACATGCAAGGGGCCTATTAATTCCCGGTTTTAATGTCTACGCTGACTGATAACAAACGCGCCCTACATAGTTGTTTTGGGTTGAATTCATAGTGGGATCTGAATTCTTTATCTTGGACTGTGGATTTCGCATTTAAAAACTTCGATAATCCAAATTTTCTTATTGTGGTGAATTGTTGCACAGTGAACTGCGACAAGCATTATTTCTATACATGTTAATGCGTTCGTTGCTTGGTCTGTTAGTCTTGCTATTTTAGTCTCGTCAAAGCGTCAGGCACGGCACGGCACGGCGCGGCGCATGGCATGACCGCAAAGTAAGTTTTCATCTTACGAAATCTGCTTTATACAGCAAAGTAATCCGCGTAATATTTCATCTGCCACCAATTTCAGTGTCCTCTAAGTATGCAGAAGCCATGATCCCTTTAGCTCGTTCCTGGCTATATCTTGAAATTGTAAAGTGCATTTAAGAGACCGTAATAATTGCCGTTTGCTTTCCTTAGTACTTTGTCTCCACTAGAATACTCCCATCACCAGCTGATTCTATAGCTCGTATAAATGTTGTTGCTTGCTTAAAAAAGATAATAYACCAGCACCGATGTACAAATACGTGCACTAATTTACAGTGTTTCCTTTGCTGACCTTCGAAGTTTAGTATAGTACCATCTGCGTGTGTAGTTAAGGAATGTACGTATAGAGTTCTAAAAGTCTTGACAGCGAGATAACAACGCCTCTGTGTGTTTCTTCGCATACAATCAGATTAAATCCTGTAAACCGCAATACCTGAGTAATTCGAAGTTAAACCCCGGCATCCTAACATCTACGCATGCAGTTGACGAGTTTAAGAATAGCGTTAGTGTCCTTGTCTTCCAGACGGCGATGCCTGTGTTCGTCCTCGGATACAATTCAGAGTAAACATTAAATACTGCATTACCAGAGTACTACAAGTAGTTTTTAAAAACATTTCAAKTCTAAAGATGGATGCACAAGGAAATTCGTTTACGCAACGTTAAATTTTTTGGGTGTATTTTATTTTATTTTTTCTTTGAATCCATCGAGTGAAAGCGTTCTTTTTCACACGGCAGTGATAAATACTCGTATTATTTTCATTAACCTCTTCTTTGGCCACCAATTGCATATTTATACGCCTTCTTTTTTAACCATTGTGGTAGACATTGGGCTTTCAGAAAGCCAAAGCTTCACTTCAGTGTGTCGTAGCTGTTAGGTGTCTTGATATTCCAAAGCGMTTTCAATGAACTCCGTTGGCAATGGTGCGCGACTGAAGTCAGGAATTTGAAATCTAGATTCCTTTTCTCAAATCAATACCTATGTTGGACTTTTTTTYTTCCAAAACGAACATAACATCTTCATTTTCTTTTCTTTATTCCCTTATACTTTATTCGTATTTGTCTGAAGAGTGTGACCCGGCGCCATTGAATGGTTCTGGTCAGATGAACTATGTGTAAAGGAGAATCGCCTGCGTATCTTTAATCGATCGCATCCAAGGATTTTATTGAACTCTTTAGAGAACTGTTCGCTGAGAAACCAGTAAATTATGGGGTTGATACAACTATTGAACCAGGAAATGATCTGACAATAGGCAAGAACAGTCCATATATAATGCACTTCTAAACCTGAAAAAAAAAAAAAAGAGTTTGGTTTTAGGAATATAAAACGCGTATGCATATCTCTGTATACTGTGATATAAACACGCTGGGAGCTGTAGAGCAAGAGAGAAGCAAGCTTGGGAAAACGAGGCGTGGCCGAGTGCTTCTCTTGCTTCTCGCGTGCTGTCACAGCTCTATATGATGACATGACAGTGGCGATGAAGATAGTGATGATGCTGATGATAATAGTAATGATTGATCATGACGTCGATGATGATGGTGATGACGATGACATGACAGTGGTGAAGAAGATAGTGATGATGACATGACAGTGATGAAGATAGTGATGATGCTGAAGATAGTAGTAATGATTGATAATGACATCGATGATGATGGTGGTGATGATGACATGACAGTGGTGAAGATAGTGATGATGCTGATGATAGTAGTAATGATTGATAATGACATCGATGATGATGGTG